ACCGCCCGCACCTCGCCGACGCTCCTCCACCTGCCGGGCTGTGCCGGCGTCCAGGGGGGAACACGGGGATTTACCAGCCTTGGACAAATTACTCTACAGAAAAACAGTGATTCTGTGTAGAAAGTTGCTACCGTCTCATCTCCTTTTTAATTAGCTATACAGTAAATTAGTCAGGAGTAGTAACTCACAAGTGATTAACAGGGTTGCTAAGAGTAAGCCTAGAATATCCCATCCCCTAGCCACAACCTGCAGGAAGGCCTTGCTGCTGAGAAGATGCTGATCTCTGCCCAGACAAATTGAAAGATTATGGACCGTATTTCCAGCTTCTCTCTCCCAAACAGTGTTTTACACCCATCATCTGACGCTCCTCTGCCTTTGTAATCTACAGCAGTAACTGGGCTTCCCGATCCTACAAGCCACAACCCAAGCGATGAAAAAACACGTCAGCTTTGCTCTGGCCACGCTGTGTGGTCCTTGCACCCGGGTCCGGCAAGCATCACTGGAGCACCAAGCACCGCTCCGGGGACCTCAGACCGAGCCAGCGAGGATCTGCTCCTTCCACAAATGGACTGAACTGTGGGCATGATCCTTCCCCACACCCTCTGCGCTGCCTGCCCAGCTCCGAGGCTGCAAACAGCCGGGCGAATGCGCACGCTGCGACGCGCGCCGGGCTGCCCCTGGCTGACCTGCCACTGCCGCACGGCGGGGGTCTGCACGGCGGGGGTCTGCACGGCGGCCGGCTCACCCCGAAAAGCGCAGCAGCCCTCGGTCTCGGGGACTAACCTGTGCATCAATGATCTTCTGCTTGGAATCCACGGCAGCCTGCATTTCCGCATGGTCCTTCTTTAACTCCTCCTCAACTGACATCAGTCTGGTAGCCGAACAGACAAGAAAAATATTACATTTGCTGGGCTCTGCTAAGCCCAGATCTGAGTCTCCTCAACGTCTCAGCCACCCAGAGTGATGACACAGATCACGCTCTCGTTTAGCCCGTGACACCAAGGAAGCGCAGGGGTGCTGTGCGTCTCTGAAGCACACAGGAAGAGATGGGGGCTACCAGAGGAGCCAGTCTGCAGCTGGAGCTGGCCTCACACAGCAGTCCCCATCATGCACACCAGGTCACGCTGTCTCATCTGAAACTGCAGTGCTGAAGCACGCCCTGAGATGCTCCCAGGACCCGCCGTTGTGCACTGGAGCACGAAGCAGACACACAGTCATGGGCACTGCCTCTTCTCACACGCAGACCAATGGTTCAGAACCAGTCTTTTTTCTGGCTCTCACTCTTCTCTACAGCCCACGGCAGCAGACTGTCCCAGAGCTCAAGTGATACAGAACAGGGAGGGCTGACCCGCTGATGAGGGCTGATTTAAAGCATGAAGTGGGCTTGGCTCAGGAAAAGGTGAAGCCAGCTCCACTGGAACAGGCGATGTTCCGGACAAATGTCAACACCCCATTGCACTGGGTGGGGAAAAGGATTTATAGCTAGGAGTGATGGGATGGTGGTAAGGTCTTTCTAAAACATCAGAGAAAGAACACTTTGCTCCGAGAACCGGGGCAGGCTGCCAGCTCTCCCCTCCTGTAGCTTTGCCTTTGTGAATCAGCAAAATGTCAGGGTCTCCCTTGTCCCAGGTAACGCTGATGGGGGGACCCAAAGAGTCAGGGATTGACACCCCCCACAGGGGCTGTAACCCACAAGGGCAGCAAGTGAATAAATGCTGGAAAACCCACACGGGAAACCTGCCTGCACCTCCAAAGAAACGGGATTCTCCTGAGCAGGGGCCAGCTCTAACGCCAGCCAGGCTGCCTGCCTTACTGCCATCTCCAGCACTCCCACCTCCCCTGTACCTGCTGATGATGCCCTTCATCTGGATCTCCTTATCCTCCTGCTGCCTCCGGAGCCGCTCCTCGCTCTCCTCCAGCCTGGCCTGGTACTCCAGCATCAGCTTCTGCGTCGTCTCCTCCTGGCACTTGAAGCGAGTCTCATACTCCTCCAGCTTCTTGTTGGAGATGCGAAGCTTGTCCTGCAGCACCACTAAGTCCTGCTGGTACTACAGCACGCAAGAACAGACACAGGAGGAGAAAACTCATGTGGCACGTTACCTAGTAGGGCTTTGCCCTTGCCAGAGTTTCCCCATAACCCAGTTACGCCCCGCTCCTTGCACCAGACTGGCTGCAAACCCGTATCAGACAACCCCGCTCGCCGACACCTCCTCGTCAGTCTTCGCGCTGCGGGGGGAGCGATGCTGCGTTCCGCTGGGCGGGCAGGTCACTGGCAGGTTCAGAGAATGGGCTGTTAGCAGAGTCTGGCAGTTCACATGGGGAATGCAGGTTAGTGAGCGAATGGCAAACGCATCTGGCATCTTCCTCACACCAACAGCGCAGCGCGAAACACAGGCAGGAGAAGCTGCACTGGTGGGATTTTGGGTTTACGCATCAGCTCTTCGGTCTGCAACGATCAATGTGGGTGCTTCAGAGCTGCTGGCAGCAGAGCAGGAGCCGGTAGCGCTGCCGGCCTCC